CGCTTCACTTTTGTGTCGAGGTCATCTGCCCGGCCGTCTCTTCGTCGTCTCGTTTCCGTCTCTCAATCGACCGTTTTCGAGACGAATACGAGACAAGGAAAAGACAACCACGACACGACTGAAATACCACAAAGAGCGATCCAAGGCTTGCTGGAAACGTCTCTTTCTCGTCTCGCGGGAGCCTTTTAGGAGTGTTCTGGTACTGGCTTAGGTGTGTTCTAGCGGTTTTCAAAAAAAGACTAGCAAAAGACGGAAAATGGGCATTTTTTTCATACGGGATAGTGCAGAAGAAAGTCAAATTTTACGTTGTAGAAAAAATTGGAATTTTGGATCATTATGAACATGTACTTAGCGTGTTGTACAGTGGTTCAAATGAACTAAAAGTCGACTCTTGGTTCATTAGACCTCATATTTGGTCTCAGAGATGTAACATTATGCGGAAACGACACCCCACACGGGTTATTACGGCAAAACTCTGTGAGTCACCATTTAGGCCCCAATTTTCAAAATGGCGTCGTCTGGGGCCTAAATGGAGGGTCGGAGGGGTCTGTAAATTGTTCCGTTCGATTTCTCGGGTCAAAATTAGTCCGGAAAGTATTTTAGATGGTCTCGCTGCGACATTTTGTCATTTTCGGTATTTTTGTTCAAATTTTTAACAAAAGCGTTAAAATCTCGGCTCCTATGCGTCGGAAATGAATGTGCTCCGGGTCAAGTCAAAGTTTGGGGTCTAGGGAAGGTCTCCACAAAAAATCATGCTTTTTATATCTTTTGCCCTTTTCTTTTGGCTACCGCTTAGACTAGTGTACAAGAAGTAGTATTCTACAATAAATTTTTAAGTTTCTATTTTCTTAAATGACTTTCCCTCTGTATTTTGCAGGATCTAAAAGAAATCCTCAGTTCCTCTTCTGCTAAAAGTGACCAAGTAGGTTTTGAATTTTCTTTTTATCGTAACATATAATGTGACTGTAAAATGAACGCTGTACATGTGATTTATTTCAGGACTCTGAGATCTGTAAGAAACAAATTATTGATTTACAAGCGCACCTATCCAATAAAGATGAGGTAGTTTGCTTTTACTTCACAAACTAGAACTTAGCTGAATTTTAAAATTTGGACGCACAAGTAAAAGTATGCAGACCTGTATTGAATATGTATGAATTAATTTATTTCTTACGATTTCAGAATATTGAGAGACTCACTAAAGATTATGAAGACACCATTAGGGCTTTCCACGTTCTCCAGGAAAGCAGTAAAGCAAAGGAACATCATCATAATGAGGAAATCAAATCTCTGCAACTAAACCTGGAGGATAAGGATAAGGTAGTTGGCTTTGGCTTCACAAACTATTTTTAAACTTGACTGAATTTTAAATTTTGGAGTCGTAAGTGGAAATGTAGGAATCGATAATTGAATGTGTACGAACTGATTTTACTTCTTGCATGACTTCAGACTATTGAACGAATCACTGAGGAATGTGACGACACCAAGAGGGCATTCCAGCTTTTCCAGGAAGACTTTCAGACTGCCACATCACAGATGCAGGAGGAAATTACAACTCTAAGATCAACTCTGGAGGAAAAAGAGGGGGTATGGCAACTAATAATTGAATCTAGTAATTTAAAAAAAAATATGTTTTATGTTATATGTTACTTGTATTCTAGTTTCAGGTCATTACACATCTTCGATCACAAATAAACCGAGGCAAAAAGCTAAGCCTCAAAAATAAAGGTGTGCCAAAGGTCATTACACATCTTCGATCACAAATAAACCGAGGCAAAAAGCTAAGCCTCAAAAATAAAGGTGTGCCAAAGCAGTGTGAACCATAATTTACCGTTCACCTTGAATTTTGTAGAGGAGCATATTTCAACTTAAATAAGGCTGTAAAATGCATTCTAGGGAAAGCCCCTCTGTGTTACTTTCACATTACCCTGAAATTAAGCACTTTTGAAACGAACATTGAAAAACAATAATTTTAGGAGCCCCCCACAAAGTGTAATTTGTGATATCTAAGTACAATGAACAGGCAAGATAGCATTGCTTGCATGTTGATTCTACATAATTTAGACCCCCCCTAGACATTAGGGTTGTTATAATGTTCTTTGAAATATAATCCAATAAATTCTCTATCATTATTTGTAGTTTTATTGAACAAATTGCAAAACACTTGATACAGTAACCATATGACTGACATGAAGTCTTTACTGCTGATAGGCATAAGCATTAACTCGTTGAGAGATGCAATGTGAAGCCTTCGTGGACTTTTCCTGGGCACAGTATGGTGGTTTCTTGGGAGCAGTTCCATAGCCATGTTCACTAACTAATCGTACTTCATTTGGTGGGCGTCCAGTGATGTGCGAATGGGTTTTTTCCACTAAGTGGCTTCTTCCTTCTACCAGGGGCAGTACTTTGAATAGGAATTGTGTCAGTAGGGTGAATTGCTCTAGCATTATTGAACCTATTGAATGATTTGCAATGCTGAAACAAATGATGAATCGGTTTTGATTTCAGTATTGTACCTTTTCATCATCTTCTCTATGGCAGGAATAAAAACCGTAGGGCTACTTCTGAGTTTCTTTTTCAGGTCGGCTGTAAAAAGATCAATGTTTTCTAGACACTTGGCCATTTTTTCTGCTTGTTCATCATTTTCTTCATCATTGTCTAACGTTTCAGAAATACTCTCATGAGGTCCATCAGCATTAATATCAACATTAGCAGCAGTCATATCACAACCTTCACTGCTATCAGGACTCACAGTATCATGGGAAAGAGTTGCTACAGGTTTTATTAATGGATTTACTATGCCAGATCTTAATGTTGTAAACCATTCATTGGGAAGTTCTACGGATGAATCAGAAATTACCTGATATAGTACCCTTTTTGCTTTTTCATCTGAAAAGGGCAGAAACTGGTTGCTGCTCAGATTAAACTCCACAACAACAGCATATTGGTGCTTGCATGGTGCACCAAACTTGCCCACAGGGCAAGAGCATACCTCTACATCCATATTTACAGTGTAAGTCATATTTGATTCTAAATTCCGATGGTATACTTGAGTGACTCCAGGGCGAGGAGTCACTAAAGTAAACAATTACCGAATAACCCTCACAACAAACATTAAATGGTCTAGTACATAAAAACCTATGTGAAAAGTTATGAAGAATTCACATACAAAAATCAGAGATACATACTTGAGCTGCATTTTTCGCGGATCTTACGCGAGACAGATACTTTTCCAGCAGCGACATTTTGCTAGCGACTATGCTGTAGCATAATGTCGAAAAGCGAAAAGAAATTGAGATCGTGAATCCAAAACGGCGGTTGAGGAAAGTCGAAAAGACCGAGGCGATCCACGATTCAAAAAGACGATCGGCCGGCGCGCACGAACTGCGCCGCGAGCTCCCTCTGGCGCTGGAAGAGACGAAACTAGCCATAGCCTCGCTCCGGGAGCGGGTCTACGCCATATGGATATGAAGTAGATTCTCGCCGCTGGACCGCCCAGCGGCGGGCGGTGCACTTTGGTTTGTTTGGATCGCGTTGGTAGGCGACGCGCCGCTGGAGTGGGGGGACCGTAGGCTCCGCTAATCGCTCAGTCAATAATAAAGCATTCCGATAAAGCTGAAATGCAAAAGAATGCGGGGAAGAAGAAAACAGAAGTCATTATTTTAAAGCACATCGATTTCCGTTTTTTTCTTCCCCGCATTCTTCTGCATTTCAGCTTTACCGGAATGCTTTATTTGACGTGATTTAACGATTTTTGCAATTGCGCAACACTGCATCACTTAATAGGGTATTTCACCCAGTTTAAACCGGATCCAAAGAAGAACAGTAATGCTTCCTGAACTGTTTCCTCTTTGACGCTCATGGGCTGACGCGGACGAAGTTCATGAACCCGCCACCAGGTCTGCGACTACCCTAGTGACGGGTCCGAGAACTTCGTCCGCGTGAGCCGATGAGCGTCAGGGGGGAAACAGTTCAGGAAGCATTATTGTTCTTCTTTGGATCCGGTTTAAACAGGGTGAAATACCCTATTTTAGTCAAATAGCGTTGAAACTGAAGCAACATTGGCGGAAGAGGTTAAGGAGAAAGATGGCGTCGGTTCCGGCTGCTAAACAAATAAATGTTTGTTGTGTTCCTACCCCCAAGACCGGCCCCAGCGGCCATCTTCTTCTTGCTCTTCTTCAGAGTGAAGAAGTGCTCTATGGAAAACCTCCAGTTTGATCAGGGGAAAGTCACGGAATTTGAAAATCCCAACGCTCACCCAACAGTCAAACGTGTAACGTTTTGATAACTGGGGTAATGGCGGGTAATGGGCATAGCTTTCTCCCAGAGACATCTTGTCAAAGCAAACAATCGGAGCAGAAAAATGCCTGAAGGGGGGGGGGGGTCAAAAACATTCTCGAAGAAGACCAGACTTAATGTAAATGTACGCCAGACCACGTAACGCGTAGTAGCCTACGCGATTTCTCACGAAACATTGTTATGCTGCGACGCGCCTGGGCCCTGTGCACACTAAATTCTCCTGCAAGTTTTTGTACAGCAAAATGCATAAGGGTCTAGTGTGTGGCGCTGACACCCGAGTCGAGTAGTTGTACACGAAGATACAGGCCGACGGCCTGTCACTTCGACTAAGCATGCAGGGTTGTAATTCTATCGCTCAATTTCGCCCAAAAAAATACCTTCTAGCGCCTCAACAGTATGAGCTAGAGCATAACGAACAAAATTTAACCTCACAGGACTCTACCTTCATTAGATATCCTTTAGGAAACTGTAACAAAATGTTAATAAAAAGGTCTATTTTGGGGCCTGTTGTTTTTGAATTTTTTTTTAAATCCAATAAAGCATAAAGCATTCCGGCAAAGCGGAAATGCAAAAGAATGATGGGAAGAAGAAAACGGAAATCGCTATGCTTTGACATGGTGACTTCCGTTTTCTTGTTCCCTGCATTCTTCTGCATTTCAGCTTCACCTTTACCAGAATGCTTTATTTTGGTGATAAAATGCTCATTATCGAACTCGATCTGTCTTTTTATGGTACCCTTATGGTACCCCTTAATGGCACCCTTAAAATCTCTAAGTCGCTAGCTCAACAGGTTGTTTCACCCGGTTTAAACCTGATCCAAAGAAGAACAGTAATGCTTCCTTAACTGTTTCCGCGCTCATGCTCATTGGCTGACGCGCAAGAAGCTGGTGGACCCGACCCCAGGTCTGCGACAGCCCTTGTGACATGATGGGTCCGCGAACTTCGTCCAAGCGTGAAACAGTTCAGGAAGCATAAATTGTCTTCTTTGAATCCGGATTAAAAACTGGGTTAATACACTTTTCTTTTTCTAGCTATTGAGCGGATAGACGCAGAGAAAGAGAACGTTTTTTTCCGACCAGACGGAGTAGTAGGCTCCTTTCCGCTTTCCGTTTTTGTTTTTCTCTTTCGGCTCAGCGCTCCAGACCAATACAGCATTCCGGTAAAGCTAAAATGCAGAAGAATGCGAGGAAGAAGAAAACGGAGATCACTATGCTTTTCAATGGGACTTCTGTTTTCTTGTTCCCTAAATTCTTCTGCATTTCAGTTTTACCGGAATGCTTTATACCCTACAGGCGTACACTGACCGTTGAAAGTGATGTCCCTCTCGATATTTTATTTTGTGCAGACAGCTGCCTGCTGCCCCCACGATGCGGCACTCCAAAGCGGGGTGCTTCGAGCATGCATCGTGGCGGACAGTGCGCTGGCCGACCTTATGCCCCACCTTCTGGTTGTCAGCATCATCATGCCGCTCTTCAGCACGGCTGAGGTTTGAGTGCACCTGTGTTGTAATGTTAACCGGATGTGTATAGATAAGGTATTCCGCTACAGCACAATCGGAACCTAAAGAAGAAAAGCATGAATACCCGCTCTATTTCCTCCTGAACGCTGATTGGCCAAAACTGGCTGTGGCGGTCAGCGCCAACGAGCGCGCAGAGGGCAACAGATCGAGCAGTCATGCTTTTCTTCTGATAGTGTTGTAGCAGAATACCCTATAGGGTATTTTAATGGAGCGCTGCCTGGAACTAAGAAGAACAAAAGCGGATACAGAGAGCGGTGGTGAGCGTGCGCCAGCGGAGGGAGGGCTTTAGGCTCCCCTACCACCCGCCGCTTCCCCAGGCCCCCACCCCCACTCACTGTGTACGCGTTTGTTCTTTCTTAGTTCCTCTCCGCGCTCTTGAGGGGTACCCCAAACCGAACTAACATACCTGGGCGAGAACTGACCATTCCGGTCAGGCTGAATTGCAAACGAATGCAGGCCTGCAACAAGAAAACGAAAGACACCATGTTAAAGCATAGCGATTTCCGTTTTCATCTTCCTCACATTCTTCTGCTATTAAGCATTCCGTTCAAGATGGAATGCAGAAGAATACGGGGAACAAGAAAACGGATGTCACCATGTTAAAGCATAGGGATTTACATTTTCTTCTTCCCCGCATTCTTCTGCATTTCAGCTTTACCGGAATGATTTATTCATCTTTTCGGGAATGCTTTCACTCTCATTTGCTTACGGATAACTCATCACCGTATACTATGGACAAATTTGGACAACTGTAGTTACGGATTATTTTATCCATATTATGGAGAAATTTGTCCAAAATATAGACAATTACTACGGATGCATATGAACCTCCTCCCTTATGGACAAAGTTATCTGTAACTACAGTCACCAGATCAGCTCTTTTTTCTATCCGTTAGTACGGATAAAAAGCCAGCCGTAATTACAGAGCAAATACTACTCCAAAGCCCTCCGTACGAAGGAAAGTCACTATGGTAAAATTCAATGTTGCACAATTAAACAGGAAGATGATAATAAACAGAAAATCTCCTCACTTCCCCCTTTCTTCACATAAATTTCAGGTTAAAATCTACCACTAGATGCAGTCCGCATACTTCAGGCTAAACCAACTAAAAGGGGACTCTACTGTGACAATAAGTCCTTTTTGATTCTATGTTCCTTCTTGTATGTTCCATTATTGTTTCATTCTTTCAAATATACTTTGGATACAGGTTAAGGTATAATTTTCAATATTAGTGGAATCAGAAGTCACCCTTGTCAAATCATTCGAAAATGTGAATTCACCTGAGCGTACAGTGATATCGGTAGCATCTGAATGACATTTGCGTTCCGGATGACGTTACTTCTTACATTTGTAATACACATAATTGATATCCAACAACACAACGCCTTGCTTATGCAATAACAAACAATTAATTAAACTTCAAACTCTGATGGTCTTCAAACCACCACCGCCATATTTTCTCTGTTGACTCATCACCTGGCTGCGAGGCTACAATATGAGAAATATAATAAACTGAAATGGCAGCAACTTCGAACGCACAATCACCTTAAATGAGAAATCTAGGTTGTTTTGTTCCATGTAGCACGGCGATATCCGGCGATGATAGGTCGCCTGGAGGTTAACGCGGCGATAACTTAGGGATATTATCTAAAAACTATCGCCTGGCGGAGAGCGAGGCGATATCCTGTCGATGTCTAGTGTAATACATACTTTTGTGGATATCTGTTCGATATTCTGTGAATAAAGGGTACCTCATGTCGCCATGCTGTCGCTTACGCTTATCGCCTCGACAATCCGATGGCGTTTTAGACCTGGCGATGGTGACAAGATAACTAGCAGATATGGTAAAAAGGATCAAATTGATACTCGCCAAAATTCTATCGCTAGGATATCCGTCTTTTGATAACGCTCAGGCGATAATTTTCCGATAACTTATGCGATATGCAACTTTCCAACAAATTACATTTTGGAGCGTAGAGTTATCGCCACGATATGTATGTGATAAAGAATGTCGCTCACAGGATGACAAATTATTATTGCTTGCATGAAACATTTCGATAAGCTGGCGATACTTTGACCTGGCGAGAGAGCACCTGGGCTAGCGCCTCAAGAGCAATGCGGCGATAACTCGGCGACATGTTTGCAGCACTAATGCGGGGTAGATATCGAGGCGCTATTTTTCGGCATCTTCAATATTAACCACAAATACGCACATTTACGGATATCTGTCAGATATTCTGTGATTAGCAAGCTACTAGTATCGCATGGCTGACGAATTTCGCTAAGTCCTCCACATGCATTTTCGCCCTGGCGATAACTTGGGGATATCTGAAAGATGTCTCAGCCGACTCGCTGGTCTGCCAGTCTGTCGCTCGCGGGCGGGAAAGTCCCCGAGAGAGAGAGGCACACCGGTGGCTGACGCCCGGCTCTCAGCGGGTGTCCCGTAGCTGAATGGTCAAGGTAGCTTTCCAGTAATACAAAGGTATGTGGTTCGAATCCAACCGAGGTAAATTCTTTCAATTTTTTTAAATCAAATTATGGTTCCGAATATGTATTGCCTCAATATCGTTTTTTTGTCGCCCAAAATATACCGCCGATTTGCAAACGTGGCGATGTCAGGGCGACGACATTTTTGACATTGCTGTAACTTTTGTGTCGCACGGATAACTAAAGGTTCTCGTCACGGGCACATGCACTAACGGAATGAGTTGCGATAGTCAGGGGATACTACATCAGCGATCAATTAATTTCTACATCGATTCCCTATAGTGGCGACATACATCGTTCGAGACCCGTTGAAAAGTTCGTCGCCATTTTATCGCTTGCTTTGTCGCGGCGTAAGTGCCCGAGCGATATCGCCCCCAAGTTGTCGAATCTTTGTCATCAGGCGACATCGAGGCGACAGTGCTATTTGTGCCAAACCTCATATCCGTAAAACATCGCCGGCGATATCGCGGCGAAAAATAAAAGTCGTCGGCGATTACCTGGCGATAAACCCTGGATACGTTTGTGCTACATGGGGTCCGCTGTAGAGTTTGTACATGTTTGTACGAGGACTGAAATTACTTTCTGAACTTGTATGTTGCTGATGTTTTAAAAGTTTGAAAAAATCAAGATGACCCTCAATCTCCTACTAATTTAAGGGTCAAGGCTAATTACTTTTCGTTGATGTGCTCGCAAACCTGTACAATGTTACACATCCTCTTTTTGTTGCCTTTCTTTGTCTGGTCTTTGGTGAGTAACTCTACAATCTATTATTTTGAGTGCAGAGGTGCTACCGGGTTATGATGATCGAATCAAAATCCTCTCTCTTTTTGTGTTGTAGATTGGGCAGGTTTAAGAGAAGAACGAATTATTGCATTGCTCCAAAGTATTCGTCGTACTTCATGGAACAAGGCTGCTCTGCCACTAGTTTGGAGGTTAGTGTACCTGATGTAATATATTCAATTTCCACAATTCGATGGTCTTGAAATGCTTCTGTTGCCTTTCCAGGTGCAGGTGAAATCTGAAAATGAGTGTTCTGAATGTAGAGATTTGAAATGTAGTGAAATTAAAGTTGAAAGTTTTCATGAAGAAATTCAGGTTTGTGTCTTAGTGTGTACACCAGGTGCTGTGTATTTATTTCTTGGTTAAACTCTCCCTCTGAACTTTGTGAACTTTTTTGTTTTTCAGTTCGAAGAAATACTTTGTCCATTGGGAACATATGCATTTACTCCAGTTCCTCAGTCAAAGATATTATCGTGCTTGCCAGATAATTGCACCTTTTTAGTTGACAACAGTGTGCATTTTTTTCTTATGAGTAAAGATGTAGAGAGGACAACGCAAAGGCGAGTCTCTGTATCTTTTCTTGGTGAAGGTGAAGTGACAATCAGTGCTCATCGCATGTTGCTCAGCAACTATGTATATCACAAAATTTTGAGGAACTTTAAAGTTGTAACCTTGACAGAAGAAACTGTTGACCAGTTTGCAGCTGGTGCTTTATCTGTTGTTAAAAAAATTGATAAGTATGAAGTTTGTACTGGTTGTGTTAAAGAAGATTACCGCTGTTTCTGGAATAGTCATGGGCACGGAGTTGTGGATTTCAATCCATATGGTGAACTGAGGTACAGTGCAACTTTTAGACTAAATCAGTGTGAGTTGTTGTTGTTGGTTCATCCGAGCAAGCAGCGTTGTATGGAATGCTATAAAATTTCCGAGTTGTTTAGGAAAAGATTAAAAGTTCGATGTGATGGCATTAAATCAAATGCTCCCAACATACATCTGAGGAAGAAAAGATAAATCAGATAAAAAGTCTCAGAAAGGAATTAGAATCCAGCAAGAAAACTGTAAGTAATCTAAAGAAAAAAATACAACTGCAAACTGAACTGTTAAACTGAATTCATGTATGTATTGGTATTTTGCTTCTTGTAATTTCATTTGCTACCTGCTATGTTCTGAAGATTGCTGTCTTGCATTCTGCTGATTTAACTTGAAAATCTTAATCAATTCAATTTTTCTTGTGGAACATTGTTAGCTTTTGCAGTTATTCAGCTATTATTTGAAGCTTTCAATTTAAATTAATTAAAAATATTAAAACTACAGTGATACTGTTTTTTTTAAAATGAATGTGTCAGTTGTTGTTTGCTTTTTGTAAAGTTTCTAAAATAAAGCAAGTACGATGCACATTTTCATATTTGTCCCGTATTTGTTTGATTTGACTCAAAGTTCACTCACTGTTTGTTTTTGATAGATAATTTGCAGTGAATTTTATACCTGCATTTTACCTGAAGAGTTGCAGTTCTCAGGGGGGGGGGGAACTCTCTCATAAAACTTCAACCAAAAATAACAATTTTAATAAGCTTTTATCTGTGACATTTTTTCTTATATCAGTTCAGTGCAAATTGAAGTATAACAAGTACATTTTGGGTATTACTTCAGGTACCTTTCTCAGTACTTTGGTCATTCCCTCCTGTTCAAGTTGCGCTAG